ATTCTAGGAGGAGAGCAACATACAGGTTTAAGGAGATAATCTCAAAGAAAATGCCACTGCACTTGTCACCGTTGCCTAAACCTCTCACATTCCTTGATAAGATAGAGAAAGAGGTTCGATTCATAATGAAACCACGTCACAGCGGGAGCAACAATGTTCCTCCAAACACATTTGATGGTCCTCGTTCAAACCCCTGAAAATCTCGTCAACCGTAAAACACACCGAGCAAAGGCCTCCAAACAATAGCCATGCAAACACCTTGAAACTACTACCAAAATTTTGTAGTCACAAACCGTGAATGTTCTGGTCCAACACATGTATTTGTTAAAAGCTAATGCAGACAATTCTAAAAAGTTTAAGAATACATGATGAAAATTAAATTTCACCGATGACCGATCTCCATCTCCATGACAAACCCGGTAGTTGATCCTGAAACAGACAAATTTGGGATGAAATATGAGCCTTTCAACCATGAAGAATTACCACAAATTTGGGCATGAAATTCCAGTAAGAAACACTTCAAAGGAGAAAAAAAAGGTATACACACACATGCAACATTACCACATGCGGGGTAAAATAAAAAGGTAAGCCCTCTGGCCGTTGATCGGCAGGCTATCGTCTCCTTCACGATACTGCAGCAGGATGTGGACGGTGAATGATGGGGTTGCGCATCCACCCTATCACGCGGACGTTCGCGCTTGAGTGCGTTTCATCAAATAAAAAAAGCCTATCGTCTCCTCCGTCCACCTCATCCACCGGCCAGCCGCCCAAATCGCCGCCGCCTCGCTCCTCCCTACTCCGGCCGCTGCCACCGGCGACGGCCACCCCAGGCTGCACACCCTCTCTATTCCTCGCACGCGGCATCGCTTGTTCCCTCCCCCGCAGGCGGCCCCACCGTGCGGCTGCGGGGTGCCCGTCGACGTCGCCGGCTGGGTGTCAAAAAAGATGGGAGCGAGGGATGAGGGAAGAGACATTGATGACTAGTGGGACATGATGAGACGCGAACTAGGTTAGGGAGGAGAGGGTGGAGTTCGGGAACTTATCCTCCCACACATGGTTGAAAAAAGCGCGGTATAGATGTTTGAGGGTCAATCCGAGGAGATTGTTTGACCAGGTGAAAGTGTGATCGAGAAGCAGTAGCTCAAGCAACGGGAGGTCCGAGATTGTAGTGTTAAATAAATTTTCTTCCGAGGCGTGGAAGTTCGCATTGTTTTACTCATTAGCAAAATGAATTAAGTTGAAATTGCCAATGATTAGCCAAGGCATAGCACCATCAGGCGTAATATCTATATGTAAGTTTCTGAAAGAATGCAGGTTTGAGGGGGCGTTTAGTCTGCGCTAAACATTAGAGGTAAGGAAGGTGATGTGAGATGTGGGACAAGAGAGTTTGAGAAGAGGCCGTGAGAGTGGTCTAGCAGGGTGAGCGCAAGGGGGTTAGTTGACCGAGAAAATCGTGCCCCCATCCTAGGAGGGACACAAATTTGTCATGGAAGCGGGGAAGAAACGAGTTTAACTTCGCAATGGGTAATGTTTCTATCTTAGATTCTTGGACGAGAGCAACATACAGGCTTAAGGAGATAATCTCACAGAGAATGCCACTGCAATTGTCACCGTCGCCTAAACCTCTCACATTCCCTGATAAGATAGAGAAAGAGGTTCGATTCATGACGAAACCACGTCACAGCGGGAGCAGCAATGTTCCTACAAACACATTTGATGGTCCTCGTTCAAACCCCTGAAAAATCTGGTCAACTGTAAAACACACTGAGCAAAGGCCTCCAAACAATAGCCATGCAAACACCTTGAAACTACTACCAGAATTTTTTACAAACCGTTTTACACAAACCGTGAATGGTCTGGTCCAACATATATGTATTTGTTAAAAGTGAATGCAGACAATTCTCAAAAGTTCAAGAATACATGATGAAAATTGAATTTCACCGATGACCGATCTCCATCTCCATGACAAACCCGGTAGTTGATCCTGAAACAGACACATTTTGGGTGAAATATGAGCCTTTCAACCATGAAGAATTGCCGCAAATTTGGGCATGAAATTTCAGTAAGAAACGCTTCAAAGGAGAAAGAAAGGTATACACACATGCAAAATTACCACATGCGGGGTAAAATAAAAAAGGAAAGCCCTCTGGCCGTTGATCGACAGGCTGCGCCAGATGCATCCACCCTATCACGCGGACGTTCGCGCTTGAGTGCGTTTCATCAAATATAAAAAAGCATATCGTCTCCTCCGTCCACCTCATCCACCGGCCAGCCGCCCAAATCGCCGCCGCCTCGCTCCTCCCTACTCCGGCCGCCGCCACCGGCGACGGCTACCCCAGGCTGCACCCCCTCTCTATTCCTCGCACGCGGCATCGCTTGTTCCCTCCCCCGCAGGCGGCCCCACCGTGCGGCTGCGGGGTGGCCATCGACGTCGCCGGCTGGGCCTCCCGCTCGCTTCCCCAACCGACCACCTTTGCCGGCTCCTCCCTTGGCTCGCGTCACCGGCCCTGTGTGGCTCGGGCCCAGATTTCTTCGCCGAGCCGGACAGGGGCGGGGTCGGAGATGCCCTGAACTTCAGGTGGAGATATTTGCAGCGTGGAAATGCACTCAATTTTTTTATGAGCGCGCGCACATGCTGTCACATGGTTGGTCGCTGAAGGCATGGGCAGACTCAGCTTTGTGGCAACCACAATGGTAAACTTTGGGGCTGTTTGGTTTTCAGCCACAGTTTGCCAAGCCAAAATTTGGCAGCCACAGTTTGCTTGGCATGTGTTTGGTTTTTGGCACACTTTGGCTTGCCACACTTTATTGCCCCTATGGCCTACTTGTCGTAGAGACAAATTTTTTGCCAACTTTTGCTAAAGTTTGGCGTTCAATTTCTTAGACACACTTCTGTGGCTTGCCATACTTGTGTGGCTTGCCACACTTTGGCTTGGCCACACTAGTCTCCAATCAAACGGACCCATTCTGCCATTATGATCTCTCCCAGACTAATCATACTGCTCACTGATCACAAAATAAAATCCAGGCCACTAGACAAGGCCGTCCATGTACCTCCTAAAGAAACCAATGAATTTTCACTGCTCACATTCAGTCTCTTTTGTTTCTAGAATTACAAGTAATAATAGTACCTTAAGAATATGTTCTCTTCGTATTGAGATGGGCGCGACCGCACAAGTTATACTGAGTCATGAGCTAGTGGAGTTAATTGGGTGCAGTTTTTCATTGTACTTAACTTCAATTGGAGTTATGAGCAAGTGGGAGTCATTGGGCTCATTTTTCTGTGAGCACAGATGTTATAATATGGTTAGGCTCCAGTGGCTAAAGTTAATTAAGCTTCTCATAGGATGAATATGGATCTTATTACCTTGAGATCTTCCAGACCAATCATACTGCTATTGAAATTAAAATCATGATCGATAAGGAGAGCAACCCGCTCCCGCGACCCACTCCCGTCCCCGCAACCCTAGCCGCCGCCGCCTCCCCCTGCCCGCCGCCGGCGGGATCCGGCCGCCCTCGCCGGCGCGCGGCCCGGATCCGGCTCTCCCTCCCCCCGCCCTTCCTCCCACCCCCCTCCTTCCGCCCTCGCGTCGCCTCCCCGGGAGGCGGCCGGGGCGGCCCCCACGCCGCGGCTCTCGGCCTCGCTCCGATTTTCCTCTCCCCTGCCGTCGCCGGCCGGCGCCCCCGGCTCCGGCCCAGGGGGTGCCGGCGGCGGCAGGATCTCCCTCCCCCGCGTGCGTGTCCTCCTGGCCCGGGGCAGGGGGGCGGCGGCGGTGTCGCTCGGCTTGACGGCGGTCCGGTGACCCGGCGGGGTGGCCGGCGGCAGACGTGGTGGCGGCGCTGCTCCTTGGCGGCCAGGCGCCGTGGTGGTGCTGGGTGGCCGACGTCGCGCCCCCGGCCTAGATCTGGGCCCGTCGGGCCCTATCTGGGTCCTAGCGGGTCGGGCCCCGGCATGGCCTCGTTGTCTGCGGCGCGGTGAGGAGGAGGAGCGGCTCGGATATGGGGGCGTCGGCGCCGATGGCGTGCCGGCAGCAGCGCGAAGGCGGGAGCTTTACGGGCCCACGAGGGCTCGGCCGGGCCTGTGGGCCCACGGGCTTGGTGTGCTCCTGCTATTGCGTCCGGACGGCTACCGTCGGGGACGGTGGAGGTGGGGCCCTCCCGCGTGCCGACGGTGCTGATGCCCTAGTCCCGGCTCTGATCCTTCGCCGCACTGCCCTCATTTCGTGATGCCGTGGTGAGACGGCGTTGGGGCCTCATGACCGTGTTGGCGCAGGGTGGTGGTTGGTTTGGTGGATGAATCCGGAGCGCCCGAGGTGCGGGTTGGGATCGGGGGAAACCCCTGTCGGCGTGGCCAACACCGGCGCGGTGGCGCTTGAGGGTGCCACCTGACCTTCCGGGAGGGCGTCTGGGGCTACCCTGCCTCTCGCCTCGTCGTGTACCGGGGGAAACCCTTGGCAGCAGCGTCGTCATCGTCGCGATCCTTCTTGGAGGTGTTGATAGGTGCCGGCGCTTCGGTGTCTTGGAGCCTAGGGGTAGATTCCGGTGGGCGCCGCGATCGCGAGGCTTCTTCGTTTTTGTTGATCCGCCGTTGTCAGCATTTGTTTCTTTTGCTCTTTCTCTGTCGTTTCTTTTGGGCGTGCTTGTGCTGCTTCCGTCCTAGCACCTATCCTTGTATGGTTCGGTTGGTTGCTTTGTGTACAAAGCGGGGAAACCCTTTTTCGGTTAAATTAAAATCATGTAAGACTTGGTCTTTCTTACTATCAAATTAGAGCGCTCTTAAGACTTGACAAACAGCAATACTAATCTAATATCGAAGTACCTATCTCTTAGCCTCCGATTAAGTCTTAACCCACCGTCTTCCACTCACACGCCCCAACCACCTCCTGCCAGAAAGTCAACACGCGCTCATCTATCTGAATCTAGATCTGCACAACAACGGACCATTTCACTTCTGCATAGCCCTTGTGATACCCTGTGTTCTTGTGAGCTGAGAGTTGACAATGGCGGAGTATGTAGTCAGGCCGCTAATATCCATGTTGATGAACAAGGCATCCAGCTACCTTCTGAAGCAGTACAAGGTGATGGACGGCATGGAGGAGCAGCGTGAGATCCTGGACCGCAAGCTGCTGGCAATCTTAGACATCATCGAAGATGCGGAGAAAGGAGTTTCCCGACCTGGAGTGAGTGCTTGGCTTGAAGCAATTAAGAAGGTGGCCTATGAGGCAAACGATGTCCTCGATGAGTTTAAGTACGAGGCACTCCGACGAAACGCCAAGAAGAAGGGACACCTCAAGAAGCTTGGCTTTGATATCGTAAGCCTCTTCCCTGCTCACAGCCCCATTGTATTTCGTTACAGGATGGGCAAGAAACTGTGCAGGATTGTGCACATCATGGAGGTTCTTGTTGCAGAGATGAATGCCTTTGGATTCAAACACATGCAGCAAGCACCGCCATCCATGGAGTGGCGCAACACAGACTCCCTCATAATCGACTCCGAGAAGGATATTGTCAGCAGCTCTAGGAACGAAGAGAGGAAGAAGATTGTGAGTATGTTGGTTGATCAAGCTAGCAATGGGGATCTCAGTGTCCTTCCCATTGTTGGAATGGGTGGCCTTGGCAAGACCACCTTTGCTCAGCTTGTCTACAATGACCCTGCAATTCAGGAGTATTTCCAGCTCCAGAGGTGGTGTTGTGTGTCAGATGATTTTGATGCTGCCAAGATTGCAAGCAGCATTTGTCAGACCAATGAGATCAATTGTGAAAAAGTATTCCGGAACCTTCAAAAATAAGTAAGTGGGAAGAGATACCTTATTGTGTTGGATGATGTATGGAATGAATGTAAAGTAGGGTCTAGTGATCTTCTATATATTGAGACGTGAGGCTGGATGTCAACCGCCCACGCAAAACCCTAAACCTGTGTTTCTAACTTGGTATCAGGCCGGGCCGCCGCCGCAAGTTCCTCGCGCCGCCGCCCAATCCTCCCTCCACGCAGCCGCTACTTCCGATCGCTGCGCGAGCTAGCCAAGCTAGCGATCCATCCGCCGCGTGAGCTAGCCAAGCTAGCCATCCATCCGCCGCGTGAGCTAGCATCCATCCGCCGCGAGTGCGTTCCATCCATCTGCGTCCCCGCTTTCGATCGCAGTTGCCGCGCGTGCCATCTCCCGCGACTTGCTCCGCTGCCGCCGCGCGCTGTCTCATCCACGCCACCGCTGCGATGTCATCTGCCGCTATGTCCGTCGCCCAAACTAGCGGCGCGATCGTCTCTTCTCCCGTCGCCTCAATCCCTGCCGCGCTCGCCGTCCCGACGATCTCCGTCCGCCTCGGTCGCCACAACTTCATGCTCTGGGGGGGGGGCATCACCAGCACCCTTCTTACCGGTGCCAACCTCCATGGACACCTCGATGGCACCAAGGCGGCACCGGCCAAAATACTCGTTGTCGGCACCGGCGACGCTGCTACCACCGTCGCCAACCCGGAGTACCACCAATGGTGGGTTCAAGATCAGCGCGTCAAGGGGCTTCTTCTCACCTCCATGGATGAGGATATTGATTGCCAACTTATTGGCTGCGAGTCGGCACATACGGTATGGACAGTCGTCGCCGCCATGTTCGGCGCCCAGAGCCGCGCCAATGTCCGCCACATCCGGCGGCAACTTCAGTCGCTGAGGAAGGATGATCTGTCTGCCGCGGAATACATGCACAAGATGAAGGCCCTGGCCGACACTATGGCCGCCGCCGGCTCTCCGATCCGGGATGATGAGCTTATCGATCACATCCTCACTGGCCTCGGCTCCGCCTACAACTCCATCACCGCCTCCTTGGGCGTGAGTAATGCACCCATGCCCTACTCCAGTTTTTACTCATTGGTTCTGTCCTTCGAGGCGCTGCAGGCACAACAGAGTGCGGTGGAGGGGTGGTCTCCCTCCGCGAACACCGTGACCCGTTCGGGTTCATACAGCGCGGGCGGACGCGCGCCCTACTCCGATCCCTATTCCTCCCATGGTGGGGGGCGCCCGGCTGATGGACATGGCCAGCCAGGGCAGAACCGCCAGGGCGGTAATGGCGGCAACACCGGCGGCCGTGACCGCAATACTGGTTATGCCGGCAATGGCCGGCAAGGTGTAGGAGGCAACGCCGGCAACAACAACAGCGGAGGAGGTGGGCGTCGCAACCGCTGGCGTCCCCGGTGCCAAATTTGCAAGAACTGGGGCCATGAAGCCGACAACTGTCGCAAGCGCTATGATCAGGATCACAACTCCCACTCCACCAACTCGGCCTCCATCAACACCGTCGACTTTCCTTGGGTGTTGGATACCGGGGCTACGGATCACTTGACTAATGATCTTGAGCGCCTCCAGGTTCATGAGCACTATGACGGCAAGGATCAGGTTCAGGTGGCCAATGGTGCAGGTTTGTCTATTTCACACATTGGTCATTCGCGTTTACCCGGTTCATCTCTTAATCTGCGCAACATCCTTCATGTTCCACACATCAGCCAGCATCTTCTCTCTGTTTATCGTCTTCTTTGTGATAATGACGTGTTTGTTGAATTTCACCGTCGTTTTTTCCTTGTTAAGGACAAAGCAACCC